ATCACTTTACAAGACGTATTGGTACCTAGACGATATAGGAAGGTGTGTGCTATGGATAAGTAAATAAATAGGAATAAAGAAAATATCTAAATAAAAAAACGGGATTTTGAAAATATCAGCGATTGATTATACGAGGTACAGTATTCTGTGCTTATATACCCACCAACCCACCCACCTGTATAATAATATRCATATAGATTTCTTGACCTCTCAAACTAAGTATTTTATTTTAGTAAATACATCTTTTATACTAATACGAAATTCATTGGATTAGGTTAGGTAATTAGTCTTCTTTTTTAAAATAAATAATTATTTTGTGTTTATAATTTCTCATTGAAAATATCTATGAGCGTATTCACTTAACGAAATTCAAACACATTCAACTTTCGTGTATCTTCTTCAACGATTTACAAATTACAAGAGAGCAAAAGAAATTTTTAATTATTGAGAGGTAATACCTGTACATACCTACTTATAAAATTTCTTTCGTATGACTCGATTTCTGTGCTACAGCTTTTTATTATTTTATTCGTATAAAATTACAGTGGTCAGCGGTCAGTGGTCACTAGTCAGTATTTGTCACGTGAGGAAATATAAAGATAATATTATAGACAAAATAAAAATACAAAGAAAACAAACTGTATACCTCCTACCTATGTATAATCTACTTATATAATATATAATCTACCTCATTTTTATTAAATATATAAATATATGATGTGTCTATACTTAAATACCCTTAAACGTTAAAATTAAAAGTAAAGGTATACCAAATTATTTTTTATCATCGACCAATATTTATGAATGGTAGGTAATCAAATAACAATTACCAGATCAATAATTTTATCCATTTATTAGAAGTCATATTTTCATATTTACCTTAGCTAAATACCTTTTTATACTTATCTATTCAAATTCCAAGTCCTATGTAGGACATGGATCAGAAAACAAAATTTGTATTTTTGGGTCAGTTTATAATCAATTGCAATGCTAATACGACTTTAGGTAGGTATGTCTGTTTATTTAGCATTAGGTATATTATATAATATATATGCACTATTATTGACGTAATGGCGTTCGTCGTGTATAACAATTGAAAAAAATTGTATTTATTTTTATTTTTATAAGAAAAGTTTTCGCAATACGAATATGGGCTAATCTACAGTGACATGAGCAAGTTGTTGAAAGAAGCCACCCAGTAGTGACACTTCCTTAATTGAAGAAATCGATGAACAAATTAATGTTTTGATTAAATCAATAAATCGGAAAAGTTAGTTATCTATTTACATTATTATTATACTATGAATAGTTGTTGACTATACRCTAATAATRTACTATATTATATAAAAAATAATTATGATAGTGATTTATTTAATTTTAATTAAATTATTATGTATATTATAGGTAGATTATGTATTATTAAGGTTCATGTTAATTATATTCCAATAAAAATATTGTTATAGCAGGCTAATTGAATAAAATGAATATTACCCTGAAAATTACCGAATTGGTCTGTCGGCCTACAAACGACCAAGCGCAATTAGTTTATCGACCCAGAAATTGACCGTGCGCAATTGGTTTAGAAAAGGTCATTTTTAGCGCAATTGATAAACTCGCGTTCCGACTACCGTACCACCATGTCATATTATTATTTTTTGATATTCGTAAAAATCGACAAGGTTAAAAAACGTCAAATATAATTTACTTAAAAATCACAAATATCCTGCAGGCTGTACAATGTTCATCACCCGGCCAAAAAACTGCCATTGTAACTATTCCAAGGGCGCACTCAAAATTCTGTTGTGGTTTTTAATGTTTTTATTTTATTTTATTTTTTTTTTTTGGGGGGGGGAGGCTAAATAAAATTATTTTTAAATCCGTGGGTACAGAAATCTGAAGGACACTTTTAGACGATCTTTTACTCACTCGTTCATGAAATCAACTATATACAACACCATAATATTAATTTTTTTTACTTTGGGTTTTGATTTAGTTGCAGTGATGTTATATTCAATAAGTAGGTAGTAACTACAAAATAATAAGTAATAATACACTATTAGATACACTATTTAACTGGTAGGTTGGTAGGTATAATAAGYGACACTGAAATAAGTTCTAACTAAAGTCATTAAAATGGATTGTAACTTACAACTCATGCAATTATTACTTCACAAATCTACATATTATTATCCTCGATTTAAGATATTCCTTAAACCGTAATCTAATTTATTGATTAAAATCTAAATTAATAAGTCAAATCAGGATTTAACCGTGAAGTATAATTTAATCACTTAAATCAACATATTCAATTACTTGAATCAATAATTTAATTAAAACAAACAATCAACATTCAACAATTACCTACCTCGCTTTCAAAATTATATTAAACCATTGTATTGAACTAAAGTAAAAAAAAACATTGTGTCTAATTGGATTATAGATCACATAGGTATTTTGAAAATCAAGTCATTAAGTGGAAATATTTATATAAACAAACGGTGTTGTGTTAATTCAACCAGAAACAAGCAGCTACAGAATACTGCTGCTTACAATTTATAATTACCTGTTAATTGTTATGTATTTAATAGGTAGGTAGGTACCTAAATGTTATATACATTGCTACATACCTATATATATGTTAAGTTTATCGATTTCATAAATAATACATTTTATATCTATTGGCTTATATATTTTGTAATAGAACAGAGATCTAGGTAGATAATATGTTATATATAGTTTAATATGTAAGATATTTTTAGATTATTAACTATATATATAGATACACATTGTGAACCTTTCTGTAGCAGTGGCTCATCAATAAAACATTTACCTACATACAAGCAATTATGTAACTATTAAGGTTCCATCAATTACAGTACTGTCAGTACTATACAATAACAAAACTTGTTTAAATGGATAATACAAAAGTCGAGAGAACAGTTCTTTTGATTGATGCATATTGGCTACCAACTATACCAAAGTATAAACATCATATAATATTTAASACTTTTATTATRCAGATTCTATTTTTAGGGACGGTCGGTAATTGGGTCACATTATATCTATCTGCTTCGAGTGATTCGTATCAAATATTTGTTTACATCTCTTACTAACCAGAGATTGGGCCACAAATTGAGTACATAATATGTGTACCTAGCATAAAAAATATACGAATTTATAACGTTTATTAACTGAATAATATTTTTTTGTTCTAATACATACAAAAACTATTATTTTTAATTAAGCCATACACAGCTTTCACGAATATAATATGTAAGGTCAATAAAATTAGTCAAATAATAATTGTTATAAATATTTTTTTTTCAAATAAGCAAACAAATATGATCTGTATAATTGAGTAGTGAGTACATTTTTTTCTAATACATAAAACTACAATTATTTTTTTAAACAATTTAATACCGATTTTACAAACTCAAATCTATTCTTTTCCCATTCTTTGTATTATTTTTATTTCATTAAAAATATAATTTTTGGAATCAAGTTTGTCTTCTTGTATTTATAATATAATATGAGTATATCACATATTAATTTAATAGAGGCTCAATTGCCAGATACAATAATAAAAATATATAGTGGCCGTGRCCCAATTTCCAGATACCCTTGTTCAGAACATGTAGATAGTAGTAAAGACTCAAAATATATAAGTATTTTTATTTGACTAATCAAAACAGGTGTAATTTATTGCTATTTGTTATTGTTTTTCATCTCAAAGATAATATAATAATGTTCGTGTATTTAATATAATTTGACAATTTAGTTTTAATTTTTTACTTCAAAGACTTGGAAGCATAAATATATTATTATATAGGTTTTAGGTATTAAATATGCATGCAGTTAGTTCAACATTCAGTATCTTGATTTAATTACTATTAAAGTTTATTTCATACTTCTTACACCAATATTCATATCAAGCATATTTTTTTTTTAATAAGAACCTTATACCTTTAGCTATTTAAACAATACAACTCCACATTGGAAAAATAATTTCATTAATTGCAACATTCCGCTTATAATTCTATTTTTACACTTTTAGAAGTAACATTGAAAATAATTTATAATTTAAAGAGTGTCATAAATATTTTCATCTTTAGCATACAAATATTTCCAACGATAATTAAAAATTAGGTTAACAAAAAAAAACTTATTATTAGCAATGATAGATTATACATAAAATAACAGATTTTTTTCTAGTAGTCAATTTTTGACAATAACTACATATCTAAAATATTATTTGATATTTAAATTTTCTATAATAAAAATTTCTAACACCCATTTGAACAATTAACATAAATATATTTGTACGTTATAACTTAAAATTAATTTATTATTAATAAACTAAATTAAATAAGAGAAATTAAACATATAAAATGATGTATTCATAGAGATAGTTATATACTTAAAACTAAATAACCATCATAATAAAGTATACTCAATAATGAGTCTGCTAAGTTTACTAATTGGATATYAAACTATTTATGTTGTTTGACAATAAAAACTAAATATTTTTCTAACATAACACAATAATCATATTTTAAAAGTATAATATTTCTACTTACACAATCACACAAACATTGGGTTAACTTATTCTG